CAAAACCAAAGCCCTTTCTAGGGTCTGAGCAAGGGAAAACCAATACCCCTGCTTGAACTGAGTCCAAGTTTTCCATTCCCCCCAGTCTATTCCTTTCCTCTTTCTCCTTTTGTGTGTGCCAGCTGAGTCCTGTGGTTTGATGAGCTCCAGCTGTATCTTCTCTACCTGATTATTCCTAAACCCAGAGCTGACAGGGAAAATAGGGTTGTGGGGACCTTGACTGACTACACCTCATGTGATCCAGTTGCATGATGGAACATTACAGAGCGGGTTTGGATGAGAGTGGAAAGTTGTAGGCATCAAAAAAATACAAGGGGGGGCAGGAGGCTAAAGTGGCAGAGTGAATGTTAAAGAATCAAAAGCAAATCAAGCTGGAAAAATTTAGATACAGATGTTTGAGATAACAGGTGTGAGGGTAAATTTCTGAAGGATTAAGCAATATTTGAGTATAAACATAGCTATTAATACATAACATTAATGGTAATATGGTAAACTACATTAAAAGGTGGGGTTTCTAAAAATATGGTCTTCATGGGTTTTTTTGAGTGGATTAAGCATTACTTTTCTTGATTTTCTTTCCCTCCTTCTTCCTGGCCTCCCTTAGGGTGGTTACCTTTCTAGAGACAGCTAGACACTGTATGGACATACAGTAAGAGAAAGATCTCTACCCCAAAGAGCAGAATCTAAATAGATGAAACAGAGAGTGGGAGGGAAAACAGAGGCATGGAGAGATGAAGTGACTTTCCTTAGCTCACACAGTAGGTCAGTGGTAGAGCTAGAAATAGAATCCAAAGCTCCTGATTCCCAGTCCTGTGCCCTTTTTATTAGACCATATTTCCTTCTGATGTTAAATGGTATCCTGTATCCTTTGTAATGACTTTCCCTGGTTATTTCTGTCAGACCCATTTCATCACTCCTTAGGCATTTTTTACCTAGGGAAAACTCCTCTTAATGTCAATTCAAGTTTTTCTTGAGCAGAGGGTAAATAAGGCATCCTGAATAGGGCTTGCAGACTGTGGGAAATTATTGGCCCATTGTCTTTAATACATTTTCCAAGGCATACACTGTGTGTAGGATGAATCAATGGTAAACATCTTTCATCTTCCTGAATGTCATTAATTCTAAGCTTTTTTTCCCTTGATGCCTGCACTTAAGCCCCGATTCAGGAAAACACTTGACCATGTACACATGCTTACATCCCTTTGATGTCAATGGGACTTATTCATGTGTGTAAAGTAAGCACGTGCGTAGGTGCTTTCCTGAATCAAAACTTTAGTCCTGATCCCAATAGGTTTGCCAATTTTGATTGGACATGTCCCTGGAGGTTTCATCACATGACATAATATTTAATTAACGATTAATCTTTAATTCCTGGAGACTCTAGGACAATCCTGGAGAGTTGGCAACTCTATCTTCTGTTAGGAATCAGTTCTCTAAGTTACACATTTATTTGTTTCTATTTAATTTATGTTTCCACTGCTGGAAAGTTTTTGCATGTGTATTTATTGAATATGAATTTTATTATGCTTGGTTTCATTTTCAGTCTCACTTTATTGGCTTTCATGATATGGCTCCTCACCAGAGGTTCATTCTGTCAGTTAAAAGAACAGTATCTTCTACACAAACAATGTTTTGGCCACTGTGGATCATGAGCCATTTTTCTTCACGTTTCAGTCATCAGAAGACATCTCTGAGATAAGCTGCACTGAGATTTACAAAAAATGCTGCCTCCTTGTCTAGCTCCTGTTACTTTTTATAAAAATATTTTGGCTATTCTTACTTACATGGGCACATGTTTTCATTTAAGCTAACGTGTGCAAGAGCCAAAGATGACGTGTGTGTGTCTGCAGTGCTCTTAGCAGGAAACCTATTTTCCTGGACTTCCAGTGAACACTCTAAATAGTTTTAGAGCAATATTCTGCTGCTGAGCTACATGCAGAACTCCTGTTGACATCACTGGGAATCTTGCACGAAGCCTGAGGGGAGAAATAGCCTGTAAGCTTAATAGAAGATGGAAAGAATCCTCAGGGGACAAATCCCCCTTTAGATATATAATCTTGGGTCATGCTTTTTTATATAAAGAGTACACTATCAATAGCTTATAAAGGATCAGTAAGTGATTAACCAATTCGTATAGACTGTTATAGAGTCCAACAAATCAATAGGTTTCTTGTAATACCTTTGATTGATGTACTTAACACATACTGGTATGTCTGTAACGTGCATATATAACATCTATTAGTCAATTATGTATTTATAAATGTAACTTCAATATAAAGTGTGACCTAATCTTGACCTGTCCACAATGTAGGTCCAATCCTACAGAGTTATACTGTGCTTAATTTAAGAAGAGGAGTAGTCCCAGCCACGTCACTAGGACTAATTACATTTAATTATATATCTAAAATGCTGAAATAGTCAAAAAATTGGACCACATAAACAATTTTTTATTTATTTGGCATGTGGTTTTATGTTTACTGTTTGCAATTTTCAAAATATTTGTTTAAAAATGCCCCTAAACTTTCAGTAATTTTAAAATAAAAAATTATGGAAATATAGCCCCAAGAATTAAATAGACTCAGAACATCAAAAGCATCTGTGCATTTACTGCTTTCAGTTGAAAAGTTCAGCAACATAGGGTCTATTAACATACATATTTGATAACCTACTTAGGGATACATCACGAAGTACCAGAGTTTTACTAATATAGTGGCAAAATAATAATGTCCTTGAAATACACCCAAAGCTATTAGACATGTACAGTATTTATGGAATGCTGAAATCTGTATAAATCTTAATCATGATCAACTCATGATGACCAAATGACTTGGGTAGTGGGTGAATAACATGTACCCAAGACACTGCTGCTTTATGGTAGTTCAAACACCATTTGTTTTTCTGGCAGTAATTATTGCATATATCATTGTTTCTATCCTAATTGTATCAGTGGAGTCTTCTATTAAGTTGAACAATCAAAATGGGCTACCTGTTGGAAGTTCCAAGTCAAGTCTTGAGTTGTCTAAAATGAATATCTCATAAAATACTATACAGTGGTGCTGACAAACTTTTTATAAGGGGCAAGAAAATTGTCAGAGGTATACCTACAGGGAAAGTTTTTAACTACACCTCTACCCTGATATAACACGACCCGATATAACACGAATTCAGATATAACGCGGTAAAGCAGTGCTCCGGGGGGGCGGGGCTGCGCACTCCGGTGGATCAAAGCAAGTTCGATATAACGCGGTTTCACCTATAACGTGGTAAGACATTTTGGCTCCGGAGGACAGCATTATATCGAGGTAGAGGTGTATGTAACCATTACACTGTAGTGACAAGCACCATCTAGTACAGAAAATAGTAGGGTTTATTTTATTTTATTTTACTTGGAGGTGGAGTGTTGACTGGAGGGAACATAGAATTCTCATGTGGCATGTGTTGAAGATTCCCCCCCTTCTAATTAGCATTGCTCAGAACCCATTGGAATTCAGGCAGCAATTTGAAGACCTCATGTCACATTCCACCTTAAATAAATATGCATCCATACAAACTGTAAGCACTAATCCAGTGGCTCCATTTCTCACTCCAAATTATTCACACTTGTATTCTGAAAATATTGCAGCTTCAAGTTTGGGTTGGTACGTTTTATTTGTGCAGTAAAAAATACTGTTGTTCAAAGTAACAGTTTGTCACTCAAATAAGCATTTTATTACTAGCTCTGCAATTAATTTATTCTGTGTTCAGAGTAAAAATCTTAAATATCTGTGGTAATCGAATATCTGATTTAGTCAAGAAAGTTGGAATAAAATATTTTGGTTTGTTTAAATTTTTTAACTTATAACTGATAGATCTGAAGGACATTGATAGAAAATGCTGCAGTTATTAGATGTTAAGATAAAATCTAGATATTAGAGCACTGAAATGGGAGTCAAGACTTGGGGGTTCTATTCCCTTCTCTGCCACTGACTCACTTCACTGTACTTCAGCGAGTAATTTAACCTCTCTGTGTTTCGGATTCAGCATTTGTAAAATGAAGATAATATATGCCTGTGTGTCATGATGGTACTGAGAAGTTTAAATACCTGATGCTGCAAAACCTTGCATGCATGGAATTCTCATTGACGTCAACTGAAGAACTGTACATGGAGGGTTTTCAGGATAATATTCATAAAGCACTTAAAGATCTTTGATTGAAAGAAGATACAGATGTGCAAAATATTAAGAAATTCTAAACGGAAACCTCCTTTCAACTCCTCCTTCAGCTGGAAAAAAGGGAACAGTACAATACCACAAAGTGAGGTTGGGGAAAATCGACAAAAAAGATAGGAGAAAGCTGAGGGAGAGTAAAAACAGCCCTAATTTAATTAATAAATCTTGATTGACTGATGCTTTAGCTTTTTGTCTAAGTTTCACTCTAGCAAGAATCTGAAAAGTTACATACATTATTTTCTTAAAAGTATAATTTGACCAACATATTTAATGCAGCAAATAATATTTTAGTTGAAGTGATAACGTTCTCTCTCAGAACAACTTGAGGAAGATTATGTGAGTACTTTTTTACAGTACAGATATGCAGCCACTGGGAATGAGTAAAAAGCAACAGAGGGTCCTGTGGCACTTTTAAGACTAACAGATGTATTGGAGCATAAGCTTTCGTGGGTGAATGCCCACTTCGTGAGTAAGGCTCTGATCCTGCTCCCATTGAGGTAAATGACAAAACTTCTATTGACTTCAGTAAAATTAGAATGGGGTCTAATCTACCTACTGTACACACCACAGAAGGTAACAGCATTTTAACAGATTTTTCTTGACATCTGCTTTGCAGTAGATAAATCCCTCTACTGCTTCTCAGCTTGAAATAACTCATTACCATTTTAAAAAGTGCTGAGCTCTTTATGAGAGCATTGACCTGCCCTTTTGGTTAGGTTTAAAAAAAAGTTATGTGTTAGGAACTATTCTCCCTGAAACAAATTTTTATTTTCCTTTGGCTTTTATTTCAGCTGTGGGAACCAGCTGCTCGAAAGAGTGTGGGAAGCTGACTTGGAGGCCTGTCAGCTGTTGATCCAAGGGTTTCAGCTGAAAGAAGCTGGTTGCTGTGTTTCAGAGGGAGAAGAGGGCCGAACAGATGAGATGGATGCTGCTGATGATCACTGTTCGGACACAGAGAGAGGAAAAGAAAGCCACTTTCCAAAAGGCACAGAGTGGGGCGCTGTTCCATGCCCCCTTGCTCAAACCAAATGCCGTGAACTCAAAGAGGTATCTAGAGTTTTCTGCAGATTGTTGAATGATGTCATTGTTTTTCATTTTGAGAGGGAGGGTTAAGGGTCAGCAAAGCAGATTAAGAATTAACTTTAGATTTGGCCGCAAATAAGGACAAAAATAAAATAGCTTTATGAAAATGCTCTCAATCCTTTTTCCTTTCACCATCAATCTTTTTAAAATTAAGAAAGAATATGTAATGTACATATCGATTTTTGGGAGAAAATATTCTCATAAGATTCTTTATGGATTTAACACAAATTATCAACTGTGTCTCCTCTCACTTACATCAGTTTCATGCTAGTGTGACTCAATTCACTTTTTATTCCTGATTTACATTAGCATGAGGGAGAGGAGAAGCAGAGTCCCCTAATGTCAGTGGAATGGTCTAAGTCTTTCCAGTTCAGATGCTGGCAGACTTCCAGTTTGCATCAAATATTAAAAAGGAAAAAATTAGGAGGCTTAAAGGGCTTGACATATTTCTTTTAAGTTTTGTGGTTTGCTTTGGAATTTCTGTCTTAAATATTTACAACTACCCAGTAATCATTTAACAGCACTGCAAGGATAAGCAAGCTGTTAAGGAGTCATACCATCCGACAACACCATGTAATGTGACCCAAAAAAACTTAAACCCGATGACATGCATTGTTTTTATTTCTTTAGAATTTTGTTGTCAAAAATTAAACGTGTGCTTAAGAGCACTTACTGTTAACAGCCATTGAACTCTGCACCATGTAGAAAATTGATATTGAATTGTGCATTTGTATTGACTGAGATTTAGCAGAAGTCAGGCCATTACCCTACTGTAAATTCCTATCTGGTCTAGTAAAATTCTATTCTGAATCAGGCTGTGAATGGTAATTTCAACCTTTTGTAAAATAAAACGTTTTATATAGCTGGACAAGTTGTAACACAGAGGGCATTTTCATCCTAAATGGCCAGCTGTGGTTTTTAATTTTATCTGCTATTCTTGGTGAATCTGCAAAGATAATGCCAGCAATTCTGTTGCTTGGGTAAAGCTGCAACTGAGATTGGAATTTGCCTCTACTAGCCTTGACTGTAGAAGAATCAGTCACAATCAACCCCAAACCTCCCTAGATTCTCAGTTGTACTTTTGGAAGAAGAGTCAAGCTTTACCCAAGCAACAGAATTGCTGGCATTATCTTTGCAGATTCACTTTGAGTTATGTCCTGTTCTGGGGGGAGCTTATTTCTGCTGATACTGGCGACATTGGAGGATTGTTTGAAGTCCAGAAGAGGGGTTTTGGGAAAGATTTCTTTCAGGATGTGGTCCCCATTGAGTATGGGTTATAATACCCTGTATGGTTTCCAGGGTGGGGTGGTAGGTGACAAGTAGGGGTGTGCAGTCAGAGGGGTTTCTTTCCTGTATCGAAGCAAGTTCTCTCAGGATATTTGGATGGCCCATTTAATCATGCAATCTATTTCTTTGGTGGAGTGTCATTGTTTGGTGAAGGCAGTTTAAAGTGCATTAAGGTGCATATCCTGGACTTTTTCCTCGGAGCATATTCTTTGGTATCTGAGTGCCTGGCTGTAGATAACAGATTTCATGATGTTTGGGGTAGTTACTAGATCTGTGAAGGTAAGTGTGGTGATCTATAGGTTTCTCATATGTAGTTTCCTATATGGTTCCATTATTGAAGCTGATCATGGTGTCCAGGAAGTTGATGCTGGTGTAGGAGTGTTATAGAGAGAGTTTGATGGATGGGTAGTGGTTGTTGAAGTTGTGGTGGAAATCTACAGGGGAGTTTAGATTGTCTTTCCAGAGGATGAAAATATCATTGATGTATCCCAGGACTATCATTGGTTTCATGATGCATTTTTCCAAAAATTATTCTTTGGTGTGGTCCATGAACAGGTTGGCATATTGGGGAGGCATCCTAGTACCCAGGGCTGTTCCCATGGTCTGGGCAAAGTGTTTGTTGTTGAACATAAAATTATTAGAGGTGAGAATGATTTGGGTGAGGTCGGTGTGGATATGAGTGTTGTCCATTGTCCTGTAGATATTTGAGGTAGGAGGCAATTCCCTCATTGTGAGGGATGTTGATATATAGGGAGGTGACATCCATTGTGGCAAGATGGTGTTTGAAGGGAGGCTGTTAATGTTGCAGAGTTTCTGGAGAAAGTCAGTTGTGTTCTGTGGGAAACTGGACTTTTGTGTGGTGAGTGGTTTGAGGATGGTTTCTCTGAGTCCCGATATTCCTTCAGTAAGCATGCCATGGCCAAATATGATGGGTTTGTCTGGGTTCCCTTGTTTGTATATATTGGAAAGCATGTAGAAGGTCTTTGGGGTGGGTTCAAGGGGTATGAGGTTCTATAGTTTCTTTTGGAGTTGTTTTGGTAAGGATTTGATGATATCCTTACATTCCTGGATGAATTGTGGTGTGGAGTCTTCTTACTTTATTATAGTAGGTGGCATCAGAGAGTTGTCGGTTGGCCTCATTGACATAATCATCACATTTGAGGATTATGATGGGTCTCTCTTTATCTGCTGGTTTGATCACTATCCGGTGGTTGGATTTCAGAGACTGTATAGCTGTCCTCTCCGCAATGGAGAGATTGTAGTGGATATGTTGTTTTGGGATTTCACAGTCAAATTTTTCCCTGAAGCAATCAAGTGTGTGGTTTCATCCACTGTGGGGTGTCCAGTCAGATGATTCCTTTTTCTTATGACCATCACTGGGGACAATACTATGAGCAGTACAGGTCTGTCTCATCTTACGCGGGGGTTCCGTTCCGCGGTTAGCGTGTAAAGCAAAAACCGCATATAGTCAAAATTACATTGAGTTCAATGGCGGGCGGAATCGTCCACACTACAGGTACTATATTAAAATTGTTATTTTTCTCTTTTTTTTTTTTTTTTTTTGCCGACCGCGTAAAGTTGAAATCGCGCATGTTAAATGCACGTAAGATGCGACAGACCTGTATTGTCTTTGTTCTGAACGACTTCTTTGAGGCAGAATCAGTGAAATAATTCTTCTAGTTCTCACATGTTAGTATGGTATCAAATTCTGTGGTGGGGCAGACGTTCAGTCCCTGAGAAAGTAGATAATTCAGCTCTGGTAAGAGGTAGCCTTGATAAGTTGATGACGTTGGGGTGTCACCTAGTATCCATCTGGTGGGTCCTGGTGTCATGGTTTCTCCTGGAAGTGGTGTTCTGTAGGTTGTGAATTTGTTGTAGTTATTTCCATTTTTTGTTTTTGTGTTGGATGGGGTGGGGGTGGGGTTATAGTTTTGGCTTTCTTGCATGATCTCCAGGTAGGGTTCCTGTTTTTTTTCTTTTCAGCATATGGGAGCATGTGATGATTTCTTATTTGAGGGGTGTCCCTTCTGGAATATGTGAGGTACTGGAGATGGTTCCTCAGTTTTTCTGAAGTCCTTCTGCAGAGCTCTTTAGCATATTTAGAGTTGTGTGTAGTTAAGTGGTCAGAGGGTTATAGATGGTTAGTCCTCTGGGAGTCCTCTTGAATTTGCTCAGGAAGTAGAGGACGTTATTAAGTTTGATTTCCTTTTTCTTCATGTTGTGGAATTTCCATTTCAGACAGTGAAATTTGATATCTTCCTGTGTTGTTTGCCGTGTTGTGGTAGTTGTGTTGGTCCCAGGTTATTAGAGACACAAAATGGGTGAGGTAATTTATTTTATTGGACCAACTTTTGTTGGTGAAAGAGACAAGCTTTCAAGCTTACACAGAGCTCTTCTTGGAAAGGTTCTCAGAATATCACAGCTAAATACAAGGTGGAACAGATAAGGAGTTGCAAGGTGCACATGTTGCAAGTGACTATTCAAGGTGAAGTGGATAGTTTACACCTCTACAGTTGTATGACAAAGGAAGATTAGTGGGTTACAGATTGTTGTAATGAGCTATAAATCCAATGACTTTATTCAGTCCACAGTTTTTGTTGTCTAGCAGAGTTATGAACTTTTGAACTTAAGTTCCCAGACTCATCTTTTGAAGGTGCTTTTCACGGTTTGTTTGTTTTTTTCTTCTGGCTCATTACAATAATCTGTAATATCCTGGGACCAAGACAGCTACAAGACTGAAAACAAATTTTACCACGATTTTCTCAGTTGCTCCCCAGATAAATTTGTTGAGTTTCCCAATACTGCCTGCTTCCTACGTTGACCAAGTGATTAGGTGCTTCATTTCATTTTAGAAAAATCAGGCCAACTTATGCATTTGAGACAAATGAAACTGCTTACAATGGCATTGGAAATTCAATTCCAGAGCTGCTTCAGCTTCAGTTCTACTACCTTAGCTTCCCAGATTCCTGTGTTTCCCCTATGCCTTTCATTCAGTTTTGGAGGTCTTAAGATCTGACCCCATATGGTGCCTCTAAATAAGACATATATACTTATGCCCTTAGTTTGACATTATTACATTTTCAAGATTTTGTTTATTTTTGTGGAGTATAAAATCTGTACAAAAATGTTCATCATTGGTGTTGTGGTTTAGACAATAGCATAACAGGCTAGTAGCATCTGAACAGGAATGTTGGGCAGTGTATGTCTAGTGAGAGAAGGCATGGAGTGTATCTTTCACAAACACCTCCTAACAGCCAGTTATGGGGTAGAATATTTAATAAACACATTACACCTTTCTATAGCCATGGCAATAATTTGAGAAAGAGAAACTGGGTAAAGGAAGGAAGCAAGTCCTCTGATCTGTAAATGCACTTACTTGAGAGGTCTGGCATCTCTTTTCCAGCATTTAAACTTTCTGTCATGATGCATAACTGTGGAACTTTTGTGGTTATTTAAAAATAGCTCTGTCTATGGCAAAATAGGTTGTATGCCTTTTAGTTACTCTTTCATTTGACCATTGAAAGGGTTTTAAGGTATCTCTTAGGGAACAGCTTAATGATGATCATTAGTAATCAACCACATGATAATTTATCATGTGACAAGGGATGGAGATTATAAATACTCACTTAAGGAAGAACCTGCATTTACCAAATTATTTGATGGCATTCTTTGAGTCCTTATGGAGTCCTTCTAAGGTACATATCTTGATAAGATTGAACTCAGTTTTGTGAAGTATCAAAAGAGGAGTGGTATCCTTTGAAGAATATTAACTCCTTTCCAAAAAAAGAGGAACAGAGGCATCATTTGTTTTGGAGCTTGCAGAACTGTTAGCTTCAAAACAATGACAGAAAGGATATAATACATATGCACACACACTGGCAGCCTGGCAATTGATTCACTTTATACTGAAACGTTATGAGTGAGGGGTTGAAGGCTGGATTCTAGTGGTTCATTTGTCAGTTTACCAATAACTACTTCATATACTTTCACTTCCAGTCATTTATCTTGTTACCTCTGACAAAACATTACTGTAAACTGGGTCCTGGGTTCATGGCGATGTATTATAAATACAATTTCCTCACATACGATTAACTTTTGCTCACAGGTTTCATTAAAAACTTAAGACTATTCTTATGCAAAAGGGGTTTGAAACAGGAGAAAGGGAACAGCCAGTCATTCAAGATCCTACTGGATTTGCTCCTTGACAATAAAGACTTGCTTATTTTATTATTATTTTTAAAATAAGATATATCCTCAGTAGATCACAGAATATCACATGCTCAGTCATGATCGTTCAGGCTTTGCATGCTTTGAAAGTTCCAGATATCTTACTTTCCTGTGTGATCATAAGTTTATTATTTGACAGCCTTATCCCTGTATTTCTTAAGACCGTTGGAATATATTTTATAGTTGTAATATATTTTATAGTTGTACTTACACTGAAGACTCAGTGATCCTCACAAATACTATTTTCTTTTTAACCTGCTTATGTAGAACTCAGAATTAAATATACTGTGTTTAATGGGACAATAAACTACCTGTGGCATCACAGAATAACCATATCTAACAAACTTCCCCTGCAAAACCAACTGCAGAGCTGGGAAAACATCTATAACCCATGACAACCCTGCTGGTAGAAGCACCTTTACTGGTTTTTGCCAGAACTAAATCAGATGGGACCAGCCAGAATTATCCTGGAACAGCCAAAAACACCTGAGAATAAACGGCACCACACTGGAACTACCAACAGCTAGTCAGAACAGCAGTCTTCTTTAACTTATTGGAACAAATCTATAAACAACACTAATCAGTCTGAACCAAGCCAAAGTACTCCTGCACCAGACAGAGCCAAGACAGATTCTGGCAACATCAGGTATGGTTCTTCTATCAGGAACCAAAATTAACTTGCTGGAATTAAGTAAGAACAACATGGAGCCACCTTTAGTCCGAAGGAACCAAACTAGAATCATGGCAATTGGGTGTGATTCTGCCATGGTCCCAGTGGGTCCTAGATCTGTTCCTTAAAATTTTCTGTAGCTCTAAATTGACTCCAAGTATTTTTACTCTGGTTACTTAGAAGTGGAGGAGGTTGGAATTTTTTTCATAGTTTGTTTCTGGGTAATTTCTGAATTATACCAGGATTTTACCCGGCCTTATATACAATAACACTTCATTTCTCAAGATATTAACACCTGCACATTGCATCTCTCCTTGTGTGTCCTTGCTTTGACTTTTGTTTGTTGATATTTTCCTTGTAAGCAACATCAGAGGCACTGCTGACAACTAATACCTGTGTAGATTTGTGTGTGTTAAAACCTCCCTAACACCTGGTATCTCTAGGATCATGTATACCCATGAACCTTCACGTTTCATTTCCTGACCTGTCCTTTTTTTCTTCTTCTTCTGGCATGCTGTGCAGTGTTCCCTCTTTAACCTTATGAAGGAAGGAAACACCTACTAGATTTCAAGAGAATTCAGGTGATTAAAGTTTCAAGGTAAAAAAAACAAAATGCAGTAGTATTACCTTTGGTACGCCAACATGTTTGGTAGCTAACACATCAGTCATTTGTAACATGTATAATTCCAGCTCAATGCTTGAAACAGAGTGTGTGTTGTTAGAGTAGAGATCAGGTTGCCAGGTTCTCTTCCAGCTGTGCTATTAATTTGCTTGACCTTGAGCAAGTCACCTTTCCTCTCTGTACCTCAGTTTTCCCATCTGTAAAGAAGGTTTGTAAAACGCTTTCAGATCCTTGTTGAAAAGGTGCTATATAATTACACAGCATTTTGTTTGAATAACTATGTTTGAGATATTAATACTCTGTGATATTGAAATGGACTCTCACTAAAAAGAAATGACAACAGTATACTTTTTAAATGACCAACGTTAAAAATTAAGTCAAAACTGTATGTGATACAGTGTCAGAATTTGGTGATAGCAGTCAGCAATAAAGCCTTTGTCAGTGGGATGCAACATATTACCATAGATTAAAGTACCCTCTGATCCAGGATGTAAATGTGCCAGATGTAAAGGGCAACACTTTTAGAAATCTAAACAAAATGTACTTTCATATTAGTTTAATTAAATATTGTATTTGTAGAGATTCAAAAATCATTTGGAGACTTTAAATTTATCTACCTTAAATGTCAACATTGAGCATCAGTGAAGGTCAGTGTTTGAGTATGTTTTCTATATCCTTAATCCAACCTGCAAAGGGATTCTGTAACAACAAGCTTGTATACAGTGCTCAGGTCACCATTGCACATTTACACACATTTACTGCACAGCCATGCCTAAGATACCGCTGCTCATTCTAACCATAAGGAAATTCTGAGGAGTGCCAGATACCACTGTGTGGTATCTCTGGGTAAACACTAGCTTTTTAATGAAGACCTCTGTATCTCATCAAATTTAATTCTTCCAAGAATATGAAACATAGTAAAAACCAACAAATGCACTAACCAACACACCAACAAACAAAAACTGAAGACAGAGTTAATGTCTTTGCAGAGTTCCCTTCTTTGCAGAGGTGGAGTTCTGAAAAGTTCACCAAGAATATTCTATGTTTTATAATTTGTTTCCTATATACAGGTCTCTGATACTGTGTGTTGCTTTGTCAAAACACTAACTTTAGCTTTATTCAAGTGAGGGCTACAAATAGTGTGTGTGTGTGATACTAATATATAATTTTACAGTTTCATGACTTCCCCAACTACCCCTCAGCCTAGTCATTTAAATATTTTCTAATTTCTTGTATCATAGTAGAAATGTGCCTTGAAGAAGGAGAGGATAGTAGCCTTATGGATCAGTTCAGGGAAGTCTTCCATGCCTGTAAAAGAATCTGTATGTGCAAACCATGGTGCCTGCGTGGGACACCAGTGGGATGCTGCACTGGCACAAGGATGTACTCGTGCAGTGTCACATAGATGATTGGGGCCTACAATCTTAATTTATAAATTAGAGTTTAATCTGATAATCGTTGGTTCTTTGTACAATATATTGACCAAATAAATCTAATAATCTACATTTCACCTCTCTCATTCTTTCAGCTTTTTGTTAGAGTGGCTAAAAAAGGTTAGAAAAAGTTTTGCTTTCCACATACACTTTTTGAATTTATACTGTTTTTTACAAACTTGATAAAAGATTCCACCTCAACCCCATCTACTGGTTTTGAAGATGATATTCGTTTGTTTGTAGATTTGAGGGGGAGGAGCAAAAATCACACTTATTTATAACAGAAACTGTAGCCTTAAATATGGCCTGGCTGTCATTCCATAATAAGCTCGATGGAAAATAGCTTTTAGGTTTCTCCTTTGTTGACTTCTATCCTCTTTCTTTATACTGAGGCTGAACTCTTATATTGTTTTGCAGCATAATTTTTACTATGCTATACTGCTGCTACACAATTACATTAAAATCCTCGTGTTTATACATAATGTATTATGTTTATCTTATGACCTATCCCTAACAGGTTGTGGAGGATATTTCATTTGGTACAGATGATCATTTGTATGAGGTAAGTGCTTTCTAGACAACATAAGAGGATTGGGGGAAATTGTACTAACTTCCTTGGGATTCCTTTAAAACAGATAGCTCTTTTTCACCTTTGGGTGAAAATTGCAGAATAGGGGGCAGATATTTAGGAAAGGAAGGCCAAAACCAAAATGAAGGGACCAATCTTTCTGCCATTGAAGGTAATGGGAAAACCGCTAGTGACTTCAGCAGAAGCACGATCAGACCCTAAGGCAGTGATTTTAACACAGATGTAAGAAATAGCATTAATGCATCAGAGAAATAGACAGCTAGTGATAATTAGTTTACTCTAGTGTACGACAATAATGATATTTTAACATGGAGCAAAATCATAATGCTTGTTTCCTCGTCTACCTGTACCATACTTTTTTATTCTATTTGAATCCCTTTGAACACATTATTTTTCCTTTCAGAAGTATATAAATGTTTGGAGTATCGATATTCAATATAAATGTTATCTGGATACAAATCCTGGATGTTTGTCATCTTTTTGGTATCGTGTTTTGCAATCATTTTGTAAATAAAGATGTCAGATCCTACAGTTTGTATCTTTGAGCAAAGTCTAAAATAATGAAGTAATTTGAGATGCATTTCCCGTCAAAAATAAATGGGAGGACAACCTTTTTGGCTATAAACTGAGTGGTCAGATAATAAATCTGTAGTTACACTTATATTGCCCTTGGGAGTAGTATAAATTCACCATGGCCCAATTCCACACTGGGATACCTTGGGCTGAAGCTTACATATTGAGAAATTTTAGTTGATATGCACCACTTCCAGCAAGCAAATTAATTACACAGGAAGTAAACCTTATTTCACATCCCATAGTAGTATATATGAGTATATGTACCCCCTGCTGCCCAGCCATGCAAATTCAAAAATGAACTGTTACTGGGTTGCAATATGGGGTAGCCATCTGGACAAGCCACTACTCTGTATTACCACCAGTAAATCCAAAGGCTGCATAGAAGCTGGAAAAATCCAGGCAAGATACTTTACCTCAAGAGACGAACTCAAATTACTGTCTTTGTAGACAGGCAGACTGTGAGATCACGCCCATGAGACTAGATATGCCAGAGAAAGTTCAGCTGTGCATGATGGCAGCATGCGCAGGAAGAAGCTTTTGGGGGTGAAGGTTATCTGAGCAAAAAATGAGTTTGAGATGATGAAAACTGCCTCTCATGCCATTGGCCTCAGCTGTGAATCAGGACAAAGCCACGCATATGCCTCTGAACAGTGTTGACACACAAAAGGAGTACATAATCCCGCAGGCACCAAGACAGCGAAAACACCTGTTGTCAGAAAAGAATGACAACAATGGTACATGGACAGTGTCCAGTCATCAGCCACAGGCAGCTGCCAAGATAGCAGAGTCTTTACAAGACAGTACAGGCAGCATATGGCCTGAGATACAGAATGTAAACACCTCCAGCAGACTAATGCACAGCAGTGATACAGAAAGCTGCAGGACAGTTGCTGGATCATGGTGACTAGACAGAGGTAGAAAAAGGAATTACTTACACTGTGAGCCACCTGCAAATCATATCCAGCTATGCTGACTCCTTACACAAATGGATGTGCACATCAGAAAGCAATTTCTATGAAAAGTTCTGGCCCAATGCAGATTATCACTTGCAAACCAGTAGATGACAATACCCACAGGAACTGGAATTATCCCAGGTACATTAAATGAAGCCAGTTGTAGTAGTACACTTGCATATTCAAAGCCTGCCCAGACCAGAAATACTGTATCCTTCAGACAGAGGGAATACAGATGATAAGAGACGGGAACCTGCTCTCACACAGAACATGGCAAGGTGTCTTGTGTGACTGAACACTGGAGGACAGCAGAAAAATATAGACCTTGTGGATGCTCTTCCAAGAACGTTCTTCAGCAACTGTAATACAGGAAACATGAGGGGACAGAATGGTCAGGGCTGCAGCATGATTTTGGCAGTAATTAACATGCCCATGTGCCACAACACCAGCATTCCGTACCACTGCAGAGGAAGTGGGAGGATAGAGCAGATTGAGCTAAAGAAATGCGAGATGTGGTTGTGAGTTGTCACGTAATTGCAAAGAACCTGAGTGGGAACCTTAGTACTTGAGTCACTGCACGTAAAAAGAAGCTCTGATGCATGTTGTCGTGTTGAAGCTGCTCCCAAACACCCCAACATGCCCACGTGACAGCATCATTCTTGGCAAAAGGTTGATGGGATGGCAAGAATTAAAGCATGTATGATAAGCCATGGTTTGCTGTGTTCCTACTTACCTTTTGGAGTTTGCTTGGGTTATGTTTCACATAGCCCCTCTCCTCTCACCAATATTCCAGAACACGCTAATCCCTGTCACTCAGACATGCAGAGGGCTCTGACAAAGTGAAATGTTTGGAGGATGAGATGCACAAGCAGTGATCATCTCTTGTGTCCATAGTCACACAAGACATACTCCAGCTGTGATATACAAACACAGACAAGTACAGTCCCACACCATCCCACCATTCATCTTGGTCTGTGCATCCAAACTAAGTCACCAAACCCAAAGGTGGCACACAGAGGGTCAGCCAGAGCTTCCCGTGATGTGGTATCTCTGGAACAGAACTGCCAGGCAGTAGTCAGTATTGGGGCACAGCTTGTGTGGTGGCCGTAGCTGGGTGGTCACTCAATGGGGTGATAGCTTTACAAACCATTTTCTCTGCTGCCCATTATGGATGGTGAACCACTGCTGCGTCTGTCCAGTATTTTTTGTTAAAGTACAGTAGATTGTAGTCATGTCACTCTCAGACCCTGAGAATGAATAGTGCAGCTGTGGTGGTTTCTTGAATAGATGCATGCAGTTTTGCACATTGATGCTTGCTCTGCACAAATTATCCTGAGTGTTGTACATTATGCACAGAGAGAATTTGGACCTGTTCTCAGTAGTCAGTGCCACCCTCTTCTCTACAGTGACTCCCACATTAAGGGATGCGGAACATGGAGAAATGTTTTCTCCTTGTGTAGTTTGACCACTGTGTGGCTAGATAACTGAATGTCTGAGTATGGTATGAGATTACACTACATATGGTTTAGGTCAGAGGTGGGCAAACTACGGCCCGCGGGACCCTCCTGCCCGGCCCCTGAGCTTCTGCCCTGGGAGGCTAGCCCCTGGCTCCTCCCCTGCTGTCCCCCGTCCCTCACAGCCTCAGCTCACTGAGCCGCCGGCGCAATGCTCTGGGTGGCGGGGCTGCAGAGCCTGGGCCTGACCCAGTGCTCAGTGCTGCGCGGTGGCGTGGCTGGCTCCAGCTGGGCAGCCAGCCACCGGTGCTCCAGGCAGCACAGTAAGGGGGCAGGGAGGGTTGGATAGAGTGCAGGGGAGTTCAGAGTGGTGGTCAGGGGGCGGGGGCGTGGATAGAGGTCAGGGCAGTCAGAGGGTGGAGAACAGGGGGGTCGAATGGGGACAGTCAGAAATGAGAGGAGGGGTTGGATGGAGTGGCGGAGGGCAGTCAGGAGCAGGGGTTCCGGGGGCTGCCAGGGGACAGGGGGATGGGGCAGGAGTCCCAGGGGGGACATCGGGGTGAGAAGCAGGAGGGGTTGGATGGGCCGGGGCTGGGCCACGCCTGGCTGTTTGGGGAGGCACAGCCTCCACTAACCTGTCCTCCATACAGTTTTGGAAACCCGATGCAGCCCTCAGGCCACAAAGGTTGCCCGCCCCTGGTTTAAACATATAATCAAGTGTTCGTGTGTACGTGTACTTTTCGACATACCTGGGTGTGATTCTTCAGAGGTGCTGAGTACCCACTGATTAACTTCATTTGGAGTGGTGGGAAATCAGCACTTCTGAAAATGAAGCCTGAATGTTCTAAAAAAAGTTGTAATGTGAAATGTCTGTCTGACAGCGGAAACCCCATCTTGTATTTTAAATTACTTCAAACAGTTTTTAATGGGCATAAAAGAAATATCAGTTCTAATTCAGCCCAGACGAGAAATGTCTCACCGGGTGTGCTGTAGCAATAGTTCTAAGGCTTTTTGTGCTGAAAGTTTTATCAGGGGCACAATTTGATTAATTTGAAGACTAGACAGCTTGCTTACTGTTAGGACCAGTTTTGGGGATGTATCTGGGACTCTCACTTCTGAGACTGGAGTGAAGAGGAACTTTGTGGTGGAAACAACAGTGACAAAAAAGAGTGTGTTGACTTCACTAATTCCTATATGCAAACTGCTGAACTAGAATTCAGAGAGGGAGGATGGTGTCTGCACTGGAGAAGTTGACCAAACATATATTTATAGCTAAGTGGTACTGTATAATGACTGCCAGTTGGAAGTAGAGATTAAAATGGCTTTTAAGAAAATATGAACCACAGAAAATAAATTGAAAAACATTCTGATCTCCTATTAAAGCTGATACGCTAATGCAGGTGCAGCAACGTCTGTTGTATACCCACAGCTAAAAAGGGGAGGAGAGGTGAGTAAGTCCACTTTGCATTAGAAAGCTGAGGAAATTTTCCCACCACTGCCAGAAATATATCTTACAACAATCACGTGCATTTTGTACCTATTTCTGTCTGCTTTAGGAGCAACAAAAATAAACCCCATCAAAAATTACACCCTCTGCACGCACAAAAATCCATACCATAATTTCATCTCTCTCTTACTATATTAATGTCTCCTAGCAGTAACATTCAGATTCCTAAAAGTGAGGTCAGTGCAAAAAATAACCAAACAAGTCTTAAGGTGCTATCAGAGTTAGGTTTGCTTGCAGCGTTAGTGTAACCAGCAAGCGGGAGGATTTATGTTAGTACATTGAGCTTGAGGCAGAGTCCATTTACTTCTCTGAGCTAGTGTTGTGCAGTATACACAGAGCAGATCTCCTACCAGGAAGTGGTTGGAATAGTTTCTATGTCACTGGCAGTGTTTTTGCCTGTCTCTCTCTCTCTATATATATATATAAGTGTCAGGTAAAAGTATTACTAGTGCCAATACTAGGCATGAAAGATGCTGAAAATCA